TCAATAAGCCTTGAACTCTTAAAACTCATTATTTTTCTCTGTAATCTTCACACCCCTTAATCTGTACTCAGTTGCTGCACAGTGAGCTTTGTTGGAAACCCCAGTACTAACTGTGAATTGTTCACTTCAGATTCTTTATCTACCATTACCTAGATATACAAGTGATTTACTGAATTGTAGCCAGTGTTTTTTAGAAACATGTAATTCCTCGAAACTTTTTAAAATTATGTTTCGCCCTGGAATACTTCTCCCTGCCCCCAGCAAGTTGGCACTCCATAGTTTAGGAGATTGGTATTTGTAATGGTGTAGCCGTGGGGTTATCAACCCAGGACCTGAGGGTGTCATGGCCTTTGGAAATGCATTAACTTCTCCAGGGGGCCCTAAACTCTGGACTTTTTTTTAAAAAAAGAAAGTCTCTGGTACTGGAAAGTTATGAAGCAAGATGCTCAAGCAACCTTCTAAGAGATTTCTGTTAATTGAGCCAGTCTAAGCTACTTCCAGCTATCAGTGCTTTTAGCCAATGAGTATAACTTCGTTGCAGACCAGGCAATGGGAATTCCTAGGGTCCAAAAGAGCTGCTATTTCTCCCTTCTACTGAGTGCATTCTATCTTCTTTTTCTGTCTTCACTCTTTTCTAGAAATCCATGGAATCTCCATAGTTTGTCCTCCTTTCCCCCCTAGCAACCAGGAAGCATCTTTCCTATGATTCATTTGTCTGAGACCAAGTACGCCCTAGAAGTTAATTTCTATTAATAGTATTACATAATAAGGGTGGATGTTAAACAAGCCCATCCAAAAAGGCAACTGCAAAATGTGGAAACTTTGCAAAAAGTCCCCTGTTGTGCAGAAGCTGGTGTCCAGGCACTTATTCACTGTACATTTAGCATACAGTACAGCAGTATACATGTCTACTTCAGAAGTAAGCTGTATATGTTTAATGGGGCTTACTCACAGGTATATGGGTATAGGATGGTAGGCTTAGGCCAGGCATGGCTAAACCTGGCCCTCCAGTTGTTTTGGGCCAAGTGGTTATCCCTAGCTAACAGGACCAGTGTTATCCCTAGCTAACAGGACCAGTGGTAAGGGATGATGGGAACTGTAGTCCCAAAACAGCTGGAGGGCCAAGTTTGGCCATGCCTGGACTAGGCTTTCGTTTAGGGCTGGTTTGGGGAAAAACAGGGTTATTGTGCCTGTAATAGCTATATAATCGGGATCAGCAAGACATACTGTAGTTGACTTCCAATGGTAAACATTAGATGTTCTGGCGGGGGATGGGGTAGAGGCGAGAATTAGCAATGACTGTCTTCCCTTTAATTTTGTGTTAGGCCATGCCCCCACGGCAGCCTTGTTGTGCTATTCCAGGCCCCTCATTTAAAACATTTTGTGACTATCACCTACAGCATCCTATCAAAAATTGAAATGCTCCAGCTAGTCTACAGAGTTTGGTGACCCCTGGTGTAGCCTGTTACTACAGTATAGGATTGAATTACATTCACTTGCTGATACTCATCACATTCAAGGATCAGTATTTTAAAGAATGTACATCAATACTAAAAAACAAAAAACAAAACCCACTTGCACAGTTCCAAAAATGTAACTATTTATTAAACTCTAAACACAGTCATTGTGATTTATGGGTGTGCGAGCTAAAATATGAGATTTGAGACATGAGTGGATCCCTTGAAATTCACAGTACTAATTCCAGCTGAGCTCAGAAGAATTGTAGGAGGCAATAATATATCCCTATGTTGACTACTTTGAATTCCTGAGGACACCACACCCTTGTTCGTAAGTGAATCTTTGCAACTCATTACTGAGTAAGTGTACTGAGATCATAGTCGAAGAGTAGAATTATGGAGGCATTTGTGCCATAGAATTATACAAATAACATTGTGAAAGGCCTAATGGTAAGATACCATATAATTATGTGTTAATTTAAAAGCCCAAATTTGAAGACAAAGATCAAGCTGATTAAATTTTAATGGAAACTGAATAGGGAATTTTAAAAATAAAAATAAAAAATACTGTAGCAATAGGGAAACATTTATACAATAATTGATCATTTATAACTTGCAAAAATAGTTTTGAAGTGTTAATTTTCTTTTTGTAAGAGGATAAGCAAGTTTTACTATTAACATTTCCTAAATAAACATACATTTCATATGAATATCCATTTTGCAATGAATGTATAGATTTTAGTTCCTATTCTAGATACTTATGCTACCGTAGTTTTTGCTCCATAACACGCATTTTTTTCCTCCTAGAAAGTAAGGGGAAATGTCTGTGCGTGTTACGGAGCGAATGCTTCCCTCCTCCGTGGTTTCCAGCAGGAGAAGAGCCGCTGAATGGAGAGGAGACAGGGACAGAGTGCCTCCTTCTTTAAAGGAGCAAAGCGGGAGAGGAGAAGAGCCTTCTCCCCTTATACCCCTCTTCTGCATTATTAGCAGCATCCTTCTCCACACACTCCACGCGTGCTCCTTGTCCCTTGAGTGCTTTTCCTTCCCTCCCCACTTAAAACGTGGTTACAAAGCACAGATCCACATGGATCCTCAGGATTTTTGCACTGGGTCACCCCAAATTCACCATCAGATCACATAGCATGCCCATGGCTACAGCTTGCACCAAAAAAATCACGTACCCACTGTTGCCTGGGGCCGCAGTGGTACAAAAACGTGGTTACAAAGCATGGATCCACACGGATCCTCAGGATTTTTGCATTGGGCTACCCCAAACTCACCGTCAGATCACATGTCTGTGGCCACAGCATGAACCACAAAAATCATACATCCACTGTTTCGTTTAGAATATTTTTTTTCTTGTTTTCCTCCTCTAAAAACTACATGTGTGTTATGGTCGGGTGCGTGTTATCAAGCGAAAAATATGGTATTTTACAGGATAGCAGCACATATCGTAATAAAAAATGAAAGCTATGACACATTCAAATGTACCCTGAGAAGCTGACCCAGCTCTAAAGTCTGACTCTGTTCTTAATTGCAAGGCTTTTTTATAAAAGGAGACTAAATGCAATGGAATCTAAAGTCTACATACACTTCTTTCGGGGGGAAATGGAAAATGAACTATTTAGAAACTAGACATTGCATACAGTTAGGAAAAACTATATCAAATGTAGTCACTTTTCTAAAATCTGAAAGAATTATTGCACATTTAGATGGCATGGACATACATATTTTGCCTCAGGAAACTTAAAGAGCCATCTTATTTAAGATTTCTGAATAAATGTTGCACAAATATCAGGGGGAAAGATGTAGATTTTGGCAGATGGAATATTATTACTCTTCTTAATGCATTTTATTGGAGACTAGCATACTGCAGGTGTTTACCAGCTAATTATGGAAGTGTACTCATGCTTAACAGTAGTTAATTTTACTCTATTTAAAAGGCTAAAACAAAAATGAGAGCACCATAGGGCTTGAGATATGCAGAACATCCCTTAAAAACCTTAATGCTTGACATTTACTACTTATGACTCAAATGTTACATTAATTATTCTGCACTCGAATTAGTCACTGAAATAATAGATGGCTGTGTAAAAATGTATGCCATTAGTTTTTTATGTTTATATAATGCATAATATGTATGTGTGTATATATACATTTTCTGTAGTGACATCAGCATTCTTTGTAAACTTGCATATAGTTTTGCAGTAGAATTTTGAAGCAGTTTTGTTTGGGGTAACCTGGGGCGAAAAGAGATTTTAGGCTCACTCTTGCTTACTGGGCAAGGCCTACTCAGCACACCAACTCTGGGAGTGCTCTGTCTGTCTCCTCCACCAGCTGCCTCACAGTGATTCCTTACAGTGAAGTGATTCCAGGGGTTTGGCTATATACAATTTGTGTGTATACAGTAACCCTTGGAACCAAACCCCAACAAAAGATGAGGCATTACTTTACCCAGCTCCCCACCACCACCCTGCCCCTGAATTAAGCAGTAGCTGTCCAAAAAAATACATAAATATTTAAATATCATTTGTTTCCCTGGGAGCTCATGGAACCCTGACTTTTTTTGTGTGATGAGCATGGTAGCAAGCCACAAGTTTGCCTCTGCCCCCACATGACAAGTATATTGCATGAAATATAATCAATGAACATGTTTACAATTGCAAGTATATTGCATGAAATATAATCAATGAACATGTTTACAATTTTCTGTCACCAAATTAAGACCACACTCCTTCCTATTCTACTAAAAAGGTTCGAGTGCCCACATACATTGGACAGGTTTTCTTTGTACACGGCTACCCTACAACTGAAATTTATGACAGGCAAGAGAGTTCTATTCTCTTCCTCATAGATTGTGGGCATACTTGTTTAGAATTTTCTGTTATTAAATTAAGGAAGATCTCTGTTTTCCTTATCAATAAATGAAACACAGTCTGAAGATTTTTTAAAAAGAAATGTATTCAGATTGAGAGGTAGACAGTATTTTCTTAGCAGCATAAGTAACAATGTCTATTGGATCAATATCCTTATGAATATCAGGAGCAACTTGTGGCTTGGATTAGGGTCACTGGGGCATCTAGGTCCCATTGTGGTTCTGGTAAATTAGTCAGAGTGCAGCAAGTTACGTTTTGATTTAGGAGAAGCCACTCAATACTGAATGGTGTTTTTTAACGTTATATTCCTTGATATTTTATTAGAGGGTAGTATACACTTTTATAAACAAATAAAAAACCACTATTTTTTACTGGTCTCTGGATTGATATCATTTCCAGCTTTCCACATTAGTATGCTTACAGAGGTACTCTTTGTTAATAAAAATAAAGGTATAGTTGGATAGCAAATGCATGTGTGACAGGGAATTATCTTGGCTCTATTCAAACAGGGAGGAAAGGGGAAAGGGCTTGCTCTTCCCAGCAAACTAAGTAATTTTTACCCTACCAATCCTGTCTAGGTATATTGAGTAGCTGTTCATCCCTTTTTGCTTGCAGGGAGTATAATCACCTTGAATACTGAAGCTGATTATGAAAATTACTCCTAGATTACATTGCAAATGGAACATCATAATACACTTTTTATTCTGCTTCCCAGCGTGCAGTAGGTGGTGGACAATCCCCTCACATGTTATAGTAGGTTGGGGGTGGCGGTTCTCTGAATATGATCCCATCACTCTGCTCAGCAGGCAGATAGATCCTTTTCACACTGTAGCACATCTCTTGTATCTCCTTCATTCTTTACACTTCACATCTTCAGGTTTGGAATTGAGCTTTTTCTACTGCTAAAAAAGAACAATATATGCAATAAGCCATCTGTTTCATGCTGTTTTCTTGTGTATCCTAAATATGTTTTGTGTTTCCAGATAGCTACATTTTGATAAGATCGCTGTACGTTTAATTTTTTATTATTTTTATACCATTTTTCTGAAAGAATACCATACAAAGCAGTGTATAGAATTAAAAGCATATTCATTTTACTTTTGTTCCATTTTATGTTCCAATTTATTTATTCCATGTTTCTTTTCTTTTTCTTTTGTTTGTAGTTGTATCTGGTAAGTTGAAATTTTATTGGCCATCTTCTAATCATCGTTATCCCTGTGAATGGAACATCTCTCCCTCTTTCCATCCATACCCCTCCATATTCGTCAACAAATCAGCTTCCATCTTTCACTTATAATTGATTGGACAGACTGCAAAGAGCAGATTCTGCATGAAGTATGGGTAATTTTTGTGGCAAGCATCAAAGGTAACGGCTTGCTTATTTATATCTGTTTTAATTATGTTTATTTATTATTTCTAAGTTGTGTGTCTGCTCCATTCTCACCTTGATACATTCCAAGTGCACTAAGGTGTGCAAGTCCTTGATAGTAAAAAAAAATGTTGCACATGAATCAAAGGAATAAAATTTTGTTTTTGAATCTTACACTTCATTTTTTCATATCCGCTGTTCAAGAGATTTTTTAAAAAAATAAATACTTTGTATTCCTTTCTTTTTAGTGCTAATATTGACAACAACAGTTCGGGTTATTAAATTTAAAAATTGTAGTTTAGTTGACTAAAGTTTGAATCGGAATTTAAGATGTTCCATGAGCTTGAAGGCGGACTGCAGAGGCAAACCATATTCATCGTCCCTGCACCATCCCTGGGAGAAAACTGCCTAAGCTTCTAGCTGCCTTGAAATCTAGCAGAAATAAAGAGTTTGTATTTTTAATAGTGACATCACTGTGATGTTGCTTGAACTATAACTGAGGGTAATGCCTGAAACATACCTGTACAGCTTTTAAGGTTTTGGTTATGTTGATGAAATGTAATGAATTGATCAATTTAAAGCCTAATGAAGTAAAATATTTTTCATTATTTTGCAGCTCTTACAATAACAGCAGAGTATATCTGGGCCCATTCCAACAGTTATAGTCACCACTTTATGGTGCCTGCAGCATTAAGTATAGCAAAATTGAGAGTTAAGGAAATAGCTGCAGCATACATCGCTGTGCACTTCAGAATTCAGTAAATGCTAAAGCACTTTGAATTATGATATAATTACTTGTTGGATAATGTTAATGGAGCTTTGGCGGTAGTATAAATAGTTGCTAAATGGATTTGTTGGCAATTGCATCAACAGAAAAGGCAGCCAAGTTAATGAATTGAGAATGTGGATATTAATCCATACTTTCAGACATGAATGAAAGTGGTCGTATGGTTTCATCACTGTGTATCCAAATTGCAATTCTACCATGTTCTTTTATTGCACCACCACATTCTAAAAATGAACAGAGGAAAACATACACCCACACACACACCTCTACCTCTTTTGAGGTATGCTGGATTCACGTTGTTTAAATTACATTCAGTGCAGGCTTTGGAGAACTAGTATGTGTTCCTAAGTAAGTGTTGCTGATGATCATCTGCATCCTTGTCAGACTACTACTTAAACATAAAGCTTTAATGAAAGAAGCTAAATGAAAGTATCATCATGACAGAAGATAAGTGTAAAAAATTGTGCATGGAAAGGCAAATTCTCTTTTAAAGTCATCCAAGTTAGTGGCCATTGCTGCCTTCTGTGGTGTAACTATGTGCTGTGTGAAGAAGCAATTTATTTCATCCAGCAAATGATGTTCATGAGTTCTGCTTATGAGAGAGAGAGAGAGAGAGAGAGATAGAAACTTCTCTCCATCCACTTTCAAAGTGACTTAACGGTATCTCTGAGTAGACATGTGTACAATTGTATTGTTAACAATACTGTGAATTTTTAATGAGTGCCAGGACGTCAGCTCCTGCACAGCAGCAGGCATGCTTAAATCTATTTGCAAAGATTTCACATTTGCCTTTTGTGGGAGGGGGAGAGGGAATTCTTTAACATTTACCCACATTTATTGTGCTGTAATATTTGCATAAAGTAACTTATAGGGAGCTCCTGATCTCAGATGAAGCCACCACAGGAAAGATGCATCCTGGTTGCTAGTGATAAAGGAAGGGAAAACTATGGCGATACCAAAGACAAAAACAAAGGAAGGGAAAACAGCAGCTCTTTAGGGCCATAGGAATTTGTATTTTTTGGTGTCCAAACAAATCACTTATCAATCAATTCTCTGACTTCATTCATTGGCTATAAAAACTCAGGTGGGAACAGCCAAGCCGGCTCATTTCACAGAAATCACTTACCGTATTTTTCGCCCTATAGGACACACTTTTTCCCCTCCAAAAATGAAGGGGAAATGTGTGTGCGTCTTATGGGGCGAATGCAGGCTTTTGCTGAAGCCTGGAGAGCGAGAGGGGTCGGTGCACACCGACCCCTCTCGCTCTCCAGGCTTCAGGATGCTATCCGCAAGCCTTGGGAGCCCGCGGGAGTTCCCGGCACCATGGTTCTCAAAGTCACTGTGTTGTTGACCCCCATTTTAGAATCTACCTTGTCAGAAGATTTTTAATCTTTAAAGTATCACAAGCCTCTTTGTTCCTTTTGATGTTACAGGCTAACATGATTCACTCCACCAGAAATTCCTGATGTTAGTTTAAAAAGTTTTGGACAGTTACAGTTCTGTATATCTCGGTGGTCATCCCCTCTTTCATTCGTATGGTTCCGTAACACAAATGTGCAAATATTTATCAAGAGAGGGATTGCTACACTGACACTATTGCAGCAATTTAGCCTTGAAAGTAGTCTACATTAAAGTGTAGTCTCTTAGTGAGAAGCTGGTACAACTTTGTGAACGGAGGAGCATTGTAGATCGTTCCTATCTTAGCGGGCCCAAAATTCCACTGACTAGCATCACTTTTCATCACTATTCCTAACACCCAAAATCCTCCACAAACAATAAACCTCAATATTACTAATCCTTGTTTGCCTTGTTAGTATACGTTCCATAATCTTTTGTAAGAGTTTATAAATATAAAATCATATATTTTCCCACCACCACACGATTTCCTCGGGCATCCACAGAAAACTAATTTGCTTGCACTAACCAAAAGACTTCATAAGGCAATTTTGTTCTTCAGAAGTCAGACTTTTAATAGTTAACATAAATCTGATAGTCTAGAATCCATTTACCTTAATGCTGAACTTTAGACAACCTGGTTTTCTGTGAATCTCATCACAGTATAAGATATTTATACACTTAAAAAAACAACAACACCCTGCCCATATCTACCCTAAAAGAATTTAAGTTTTGTGATTCCTTGGCATTCATGCTACAGGCAACTATGACAAAATACCAACAATATAAAGTGTTTTTGGATAAATAATGATTGGGGGGGGGGGCTTAAAAGCCCAACCTACATTTGATTGTGAGATGCCTTATCACAATCAGTAAGGGTTGAGAAAAATTCTTCTTTTAAATAGTAAAGGAGTGAAAGATCTGAAAAATATAAATCAGTAAGATCTCATTTAAGCCATTGTTTCTGCAGCATAAGAGGGTAAGCTGAAACAGGGTTTTAAAAAGAATATTTTCTACTCTAGTTCAGTCACTGTGCCTAATATACTTAACTGCCATAGCTTAATGCAACTGACATAATTTTTGACGTTCTATTTACTGCTAGATGAAGTGGCCATTTAAGTCTGTATAAATCAAACAGTTTGGACAATGCTGGCAGTATTTATAATGTCACGATGAGCAGATGTTTCAAATTTGCCTTCATTTACATATATATTTTGTTTGAACATGCCCTTGCCTATGTAAATGAAGGAGGCATTCTGCTTCACCGTTGCTTTAAATTCATTCCTCTTCAGTAATTGCATTGAAGATTTTTAAATGGTTATAATTTACTCAGTAGCAATCCTAGAGCTTTTGAGTTAAATTGAATTTTTTTCCTGAGCATTTCATCCTACATCAGAAATCAAGCCTCTTATGGAAGCTATTAAATGACTTCTGAACTACAGTAAATCAAAGATGATGACTTTTGTGTATCTAACCCCTGAATTTGCAATCATTTTGTGGTTTTTACTTTAAGAGTACATAGTACAGTGATGTGAGGGAATTTTTCTTTTCTTATGCTGTGACTGATAAAAATGCCTTCAACCTTTTGTCCTACCAGCACTTTACCACCAAACTACGCTCTCAAGAAGAGTTACTGAAGGCAATTGGGCTGTGTGACGCTTCAGTTAAAGTGTGTGTGTGTGTGTGTGTGTGTGTGTGTGTACACATAAAAACTGATGTTTTTAACAAACAGGTGTGTCTATAAACATCAGCCCTAGTTAAAACAGTGTTGAACCTGAGTACTATAGTCTTTATTTTAAAAAGGACCTTTCTGTGTGTGAGTTAGATGTGATGCACAAGCCGCTCACCAGAAAACCATTCACCTCAGCTACGAATTAATCGGTGTCATTGTGTTGTACTTTTCTTCTTTCAGAACCACCACATTTTGTTGTGAAACCTCGTGACCAGGTGGCTGCACTGGGCAGAACTGTGACTTTCCAGTGTGAAGCAACTGGAAACCCTCAACCAGCAATATTTTGGCGAAGAGAAGGAAGTCAGGTAAAATGAACTTTCTGAAGCTTCGCCAAAGCATCTACATAACACAAGGCCCATTTTTGTCTGCTGGTGCCTGGTGCTCTCCTGCACCCAGCATCATCCAAATGCCTGTTGGATGACTGGCTATGCTCATTTGATTCTTTTCAAAATATGTGTGTAGGCTCTGCCTACGTTACCTGGTTGTTGTAAAAAGTCAGGACTAGTAAAAAAGTGTTTAATTCCTTGGCAAACTCAACATACATCCTGGCTTTACACAGACCCCTCTGTTCCCTGTCAACCACATATTGTCCCATGTAGGATGAAAAACCAGGAAGCTT